AGAGATGGATGTTACCTTGTTGCCAGTGGCAGGGTGTGGTTAAGGGCTACGAACAACAGATCCTTTACATGCATACAACATTTGACTCATTGAACATGAGTTTCTTTCTAAAAGTTCAAGTAGATTACATTCGTTCATTAGCAGCAACATAAACCTATAAAATAAATAGATTAAATCCTTAGATAAAAAAACTAAAATTTTAGTCAAACCCAAACATCAAACTCATTATTAAAATTCCAGTCAAATCTTTTTTAAATTTGGAAAAAATACATATTACAAACCTTTCAAGCTAAATTGCCTGTGTCATCTACAACTTTTATCCCCTCCAGTTGCATCGTATAGCTATATGTTAAAATGATCTACATTTCTAGGATCAAAACATGTGAAAAAAAACAATTAATCCATGAATTACAAAAATAATGAAAAAGCAAAATCAACATCCATATCTTACCTTGTCGTTGGGGTTGTGGTGTACAAAGATTTTGGACCAAAGAGAATTGAATGGTAAAAGGATGATATTTGGTTGAAGCTTGTAGTCATGAGAATTTTAATTGCTGTGATATAGTCGATACTTACCGAAGAATATGATTGACAGAGGATCACATCAAATCATGAAGGAGGCGTGACCTAGGTTAGGGTTTTCAGATCTGTTCAAAATTTGAATCCAGGAGGCTGATGATAGTCAGCTATCAGAAGGGGAGCCTTCATCGAGTCTTTTGATGAAGAGTTTTTAAAGCTTGTATACTAATCAGTGTGACATCTAGTCCCGACCCGTGTGACATTTAGTCTATGTATAAAATGATTGTGGTGGTGGCGCTTAGGGCTTTTTTTTTTACAGAGAAACGTATAAAACGACACAGAAGACTCTTTTATCCAACAAAAATCATCGATACAAACCTGAAGAGGATTGATTGTGGTGGTGGCGATTAGGGCTTTTTTTACAGAGAGAGATGGAGGAGCTTTTGTCACCGCCTTAAAACATTCATAGTCAGGGAACATGGGAGCTCTAAGCTAGGGTTATTCATGGAGATTACATCCACATAGATGAATGAGTTTGCGATGCTCTCCAATTAAGTATGAAGATTGTGGTGGCAAGGGTTTCTCATTGCACTAGTCAAGGAGGGTGCTCAAGTGGCCGAAAAATGGAGTGGGCATGGCTTATGGCTTGCGATGGTCTTCAATTAAGGCGGGGGGGGGGGGGGGGGGAAGGAGGAGAACAATGATTGTTGAGTGTTTGGTGATGGCGGTGTAATAGTGGTGCGACGGTGGTGCTATGATAAGGAACTAATGACAACGGTGGTATTAGGTGTGAGGTAGTGGAGACGATGGTGTGTGGTGGTGTTGGTCACTGCTTTTGGTGAAAGAGGAGAGTGGTGACAGAGGTTAAGGCGTAGATGATGAACGGAGAAGAACGGAGGTATTATATAAATTAACAAAGGTATAACATTAGTTGGTTGAAGAAAGGGCGAAATAGTGGGGAGGTTGCTGGACTTGATAGGAAGGATATCTGGTCAAAAGCAAAAGCCATACGTATGTTGACCAAATAAGATATGATGCCTAAAGTTATTGTACATATTGCATAAGGGCTTGTACGACTTAAAATTCAGCATTTGACTAAAAATGTTTTATAAGGTAATATATATATATATATATATATATATATATATATATATATATATATGTATATATATATATATATATATATATATATATATATATATATATATATATAGAGAGAGAGAGAGACTGCAATAAAGCCTTTACATATTTGTCTCATATCGATTTAGTTTTTATATATATATTTTTATTAAATTAAGTCCCAAAAACCGGTCATCGTATTCAATTTAACCATTTTACTTAGTCAACAGGTCATTCAACTTTCACAAATTACTCTTTTGGCCAAAACATCAAAATTTATTATAAATTTGGTCCAAAATTTACACTTTTAGCCTAGGTTTTAAATTTTATTACAAATTTGGTCTCAGATTTACAATTTTGGCCCTAATTTAAGAATTTTGTTAGAAATTCATCTTAACTTTAGTTTTGTTTACAACAATATTTCTCAAAATTTTGTTTCGAATATGTTTTTTCTTTAAAAAATCATATTTATACAAAAAAAACATATTTTCACATAAAAATCTTATATTTTCTATATAAAAATAGGTATTTATTATGTACCTAAATATATACAAAACCTTTTTCATATATATATATATATATATATATATATATATATATATATATATATATATATATATATATATGTATGTATGTATATACAAATACATATTTTATTAAAAAAAATGTATACAAACACATATACTATTATAAATACACTTGTATACAAACATATTTATGAAAAATGCATTTATATATAAATACATTTTATATATAAATGTGTTTGAATACAAATGCATTTGTTATAAAATACGTGTTTATAAAAAAAAATACACACACACACACACACACATATATATATATATATATATATATATATATATATATTACAATAGAAATGTATATAAACACTTATTTGGGTGCATATAAATATATTTTAACAAAAGAAATGTATACATTGACTATGAAATATGTATATGTACATATTTTTTTAATAAATTGGTTTTTGCATACGAATGTATTTATAATAAAATGTGTTTGTATACTATTTTTTTGTGTAAAATACAAGTTTGTACACATGTTTTTATATAAAATTGAATTTGTATATATTTATGTACTTATTAAATACCTCTTTTTATAAATTGGTATTTCGCATTTAAAAAAGTTTTTATATAGAAAATATAATATTTTTTATGTGAAAAATGGTTTTTTTATATAAATGTGATTTTATAAAGAAAACAACATATTTGAAACAAAATTTTGAGAAAAGAAGTTAAAAAAAAAAAAGCTAAAGTTAGGATGAATTCATAACAGAATTCTAAAATTTAGGGCAAAAGGGTAAATTTTAGACTAAATTCGTAATAAAATTTTAAGATATGGGCCAAATGTGTAAATTTTGGATCAAATTTGTAATAAATTTTGAAACTTGGGCAAAAAATATAATTTTTGAAAGTTGGATGACTTGTTAACTTGCTAAAATGGTTAAATTGAATCCGTTTACCAGTTTTTGTGACTTAATTGAAACTTGGGCAAAAAATAACTAAATCGATTATGAAACCAATATATATTGACAATAGGTTAAAACCCGTGGAACCCACGGATGTTAATTTTAAATAAAATTTAAAATTTAATTATGTAATAAAATAATATTTCATTAATTTACAAAACTTATGAATTGTAATATTGCATTTTTTAATAACTTTGTGATCTGTAAATATTTAATTACACAGTAAAGGTAAGTATTTAATTAGAAATAGAGATTTTTAAAACCATTACTTTTGGTGCATGATTATTGTTTAACATACGAAGATGATGACATAACCACAATGAAGTAAGTGGGAAGAAAAAAACATTTGCTCGCTAAAACGCCACTTTTACAATTATAAATTACCATCCCAATAAATCAACTCCACCATCTCTATCATTCGTCATTGTCATTGTAGGATTTTTACTCATTCTTCATTGTTAATGGTGTTAATTTTGTGAGATTAATAGAAATTGTTGCTGTATTCGTCAGTTTTTTTCAAAATTTTACCTTCATTTACCACGTTATGTGTTTCTTTTTTAGGCTTACTGGCCATAACCTTGAAATCCGTGCAATGGTAGTGTTTATCTTCGGATATGTTCTATATTATTAGTAATTTTATAAATTTTAACTGTTTAATTACAAATGTAAAACCACCTATTTTATAAAAGTCATGACTTTATATAATGCAACATACATTTGAGTAATGATAAAAAACCCCAAAAAACATCAAAATTGATTTGATACAAAACAAACAAAACATTTCAATAATGAAAATAACATAAAAAAATACAATACATAATTATAAATAAATTAATTAATATGATGGATGAGTCTAATTTGCTAAAAATGATTAAAAGATGCTACAAAAAAGTTGGTTATAAATTGTGAAAAATTTCCTTATAAACAACATTGAAAGGTTTTTTTGTGTGTGTACATCTTTACTACCCGCACTTTGATATGTGAATCATAATCAATCTCTTCAACGTTTTTGAGGTATATTTTATTACCTATATTTATTTCCTACAATATAATACTATTAATGATTAAAAATAGTTATGAAACATCATATATTTATTAAATTCTATTAATTTAAACACAAATCATTTTGTTTACATTTTATATTGAAATCGGTCCCGAGAAACATAAAAAAAAAATGGGATTTGACATTGAAAAAAGTATGAGTCTTTGATAAGTTTGTGTTTTTATATTGTAATCGATGCTGAAAAACATAAAAGGAATGAGATTCGACATTGAAAAATGTATGAATCTTTGTTAAGTTTGTGTTTCAATAATTTAATTTCATTTGTTAAATTGCGCATAATAGTAGAAATATTGAATTTGTATTCCTCTTCCAAGTAACAGAGATGCTAAAAATTAGGATTTGAATACCATAAATTTCCCAAAGGTTTGTAGTGTATACAAAATGGCCCTTATTTAACTTTTTTTTTTTCATTTTTATATTGGATAAAATAGCAAAGTAGTTTTAAAATATATTTCTTTAATAGACACATTAACAATTATACATTCAGAAAAAGTCACATATATAGATACAAATACGCATAAAATACATTTCTATTGCTATTTGTATGAAAATATAACTAACACTTTTAAGTAAATACTTATTGTGAAAAGATGTTAAGTTTCCTCATATTTTTTATTGCGTATATATTATTTTATTCAGTAATTACTTTTTGTTTTTTTAGATTGCAATAATATTATGGACTCATATAAGTCTAAAAAAATATAAATTTAAAGTACTTTTTTTGGATAATAGAAAAAACAATAATTTGTCTATCATATCAATTATCGACTTTATTGACGCCATTATTTGTAAGCTCTTTTTTGCTTCTTGAATTTAGATTGGAAAAGAAACAAAACCTGGGCTCATCACTTCAATCATGGCATCCATTATTTGTAAGCTTTTTTTTGCTTCTTGAATTTGGGTAGGAGTAACCTGTCCAACAAACAAAACATGATTATGAAAATTCAGAATTTTTTTCTTTTTGACTTAATAAGTAATTTAATAGGCACATTATATATCGGTGTTTCTTTTTTACTTGATGAGCTTCATGAGTTAAGCACTTAACCTTTACTTGATGAGCTTCATGAGTTAAGCACTTAATACTGTAAAACTTGCCTTTTAGAATGTAAGGGTAAAATAGGGCGAAAATATACCTTTCCCATTCCAGGAATCATTCCAAGAACACGAGACATGGAACCCATCCTTGCAACAACTCGAGTTTGCTTCAAGAAGTCATTGAAGTCAAATTTTGCACTCATGATCTTCTTCTGCAAATCTTCAGCAACTTCTTGTTTCATCTACACACCCATAATTATTTCAATTCATCATTTTTACAAAGAAAAAAACACTCACAACTTCTTGTGCTTTCTCCACAAATGAGAGAACATCTCCCATGCCCAAGATCCTTCCTGCTATTCGATCTGGATAAAAGGGTTCAAGATCCTCCATCCTCTCTCCACATCCCACAAGCTTAATTGGCTTTCTTGACACCTAATGTCACAAAATTAAACGAAATCTTATATCAAATAAACATCAATTGATAAAAACAATGTTAAAGAAAGAGCAACCTCTTTAACACTCAGAGCTGCTCCACCTCTTGAATCCCCATCTAGCTTAGTTAGAATAGCACCAGTAATTCCAATTTAAAGGTAAAAAGTTGTCACTAATGAAAATTATCACAAAGGTTAGTATGGTAAATTGTTATATGTATATATGTAATAATAAGTTATTTCAAAACACCTGCAACTTCTTGCCCTGTCATCGCATCCACAAGAAGCAAAACTTCTATGGGATTCAATGTTCTCTTCACATCTTTCAATTCATCCATCATATTTTTGCCTATCTGGTAATAAAAAGGTAAAGGGTGTTGTGTTAGATTAATGAAGAAACATGTCTTCTATAATATCTAAAATGATTAAAAAGACATGTCATATAATTATAACCTGAAGCCTTGCTTTTGTATCCATTATAACCACATCTACATTCTTTTTTTTATCCTCTTGAAGACCTTGTCTAGCTATTTCTGCTGGTTTTACATCAGTCCCTACTGCATATACAGGAGCATCCACCTGTCACAAACTTATATCTATTAGAATTGAGTTTTAAGTGACCCTGACAACTCATTGAGAAATATCAAACTTGTATAAGTGTCAACTTCATACCTGTTTATCTGCAACAAAGATGTAACATGAAAAATGGATTTGGGAAGAATAATATGATAAAGGTCGCAATTAAACTAAAACCCTAGTATACCCGATCCATTGGGTGGAGGTGTCACCCTTAAGGTCGTTGGAAGCAGGAGAAAAAGAGAAGAAGAAAATGATTGATATTGAAGATTAGGGGAAAATAAACGTAATATACCTAAATTCGTGTTGACATTCAACATAATTCATAAGGAAAAAACCGTAATTCAAATCAGAATCGTATAAAATTTACTAAAGTGAACCATAATGAAATGTATTTTCCTTATCCAATGATCCATCATAGAAGAACATCAATTCTTAATATGAAGATATTTGGAGATAGTTGTGGTGAAATAGGGTTTAGGGATTCATACCGACTTGAAAGAGACGACCTTTGGGCAAAAATATAGTAACGACAATGGAGAAATGAATATTATAGATGTTACGATGGAAAAACAAAATCTGAATTTTTAGGAAGTTGACATAAATTTCGTAACCTATTTCGTCTCCGATGCCTCTACTTAGGTTTGAGAAGAGATGAACTTTCATCATGCACCATGGAGGAGTAGATTGTCGTTATTGAACCTGCAATCAAGAAAACGAAGCCATTAAGGTTTCCATCGGTGCATACTGATAAAGAAAATAACAATTGAGAAGACCAACAAATCAATCCTTTTATCTCATGGATTTGTAGATATAGAGGGATTTGATTGTGCAAATTACAACCATAAATTTAGGAAAGATTTGAAATTTCAATTAGAATTTGAAGAAATAGTTGGAAACATGAATCGTGTAAAAAGAAATGAAGGGCAGTTTGGACATTCAGTTTAGTAAAAGTAGCAGGAAAATTTGATTTGGAGGGGCTTGGAGAATGCCATGTGGCAAAAATCTACTTATTTATTAGATTAGGGGATTATTGCAGTTCTCGCATATATATATATATATATATATATATATATATATATATATATATATATATATATATATTGTATGTATAAAATAGTATTTTAAATATACAACTTATTGTTATATTTTTACTATTGAATTGTATTTTTTGTGCGTGAATATATATATATATATATATATATATATATATATATATATATATATATATATATATATATATATATATATATATATGAATTGCTAATATTGTAGTAAAACAACGTATTTCATGAGGTTTAGTACCTAAGCTTACGTGAGGCCGTAATGTATATTCACTTTTCTCTCTCTCTCTCTCTCTCTCTCTTTCTATCTCTCTCTCTCTCTCTATATATATATATATATATATATATATATATATATATATATATATATATATATATATAGACACACACACACAATCATTTCAAAACCTAAATAAGATAATTTTTTAACGTTATCTATTAATTAATTTTAGTAATTAAATAAATATTTAATTAATCTGTTTAATTTAGGCAATATAGTTTAAAAATAAAAAACCGTAACCAACCATACAAAACACATATCTCGTTCTTCTGCCTGCGCTTCACACCTCACCATCATTTTCTCTTTCTTTTTCTAGTTCCAAAAGTCTCGATTTGCTTCAAATCAGCATAACAACAAAAGTCAAGATTTGGTTTTTCTATATTCGAGATTTGGTTTTTTCGTAAGAATATGTATGAATCTATATTTGTATTTCAATGAAATATGTTTGAATATATAAGGATCATGTTATTTTTCAACCGAAGGGTCAAGAATTTTGTTTTTTTACAGAAAGTTACTTCAATCAAAATATATACTTTATCTGAATATATTCTGATATTTTTATATAATATCGTTCTAACATAATTGCTTTCTAAAAGAATAAAATTGACTAAAATTAAAAATTATGTGAGAACCAAAAATGAATTAATTAAAAAAAAGGAAAGCTGTAAAAAAAGTCTTTATATATTGACATTATAATTGATTTAGTCAACAGGTCATCCAACTTTTAAAAATGTAAATTTTGGACCAAATTTGTAATAAAATTTGAAATTTGAGCCAAAAGTGTAATTTTTGAAAGTTGGATGACCTATTGGCTTGGACCTTCAGTTGGATGACCTGTTGACTAAATCTTTTATGAGGTTAATACGTAAGGATTTTTTTTTGCAGTTTTCTCTAAAAAAATCAGAATTCAAAATTAAAAGATTCAATATCCTTTAAAATCTAAAACTTTCATTAATTAAGCATGTGTTTCCTAATTTAAACACATATCTCCTAATTTAAAGATAGGTAAATCATTACTTAAAATAACTAAAACCATTAGTCCAAATTCATTCCTACATCACACAATAGTTAATTAGAATACAATAACACACACACACACACACACACATATATATATATATATATAGGGTTAGGTTATTTTGTTTTTAATAACTACTGTGTGCCAGAATGCACAGATCTGGACCATTGGATGGAATATAATCAAAGGTCATGATCTGAGGGTCTATGATAGTAGAATATGATAACATGTACCATATAATCACACAAATTTCAACATAAGGGCATTTTAGTCAATTAACCTATATTAAAAAAGGAAATTTTCGGATTTTTAGGAATGATTAATTTCTTTATTTTTTAAAAATCTGAATATTTAAAATTAATTCAAATTTAAAAATCCGATTTTATTCTGTCAGAATGATAGAATGCCAACCATAAACTAGTAAATATATTTTTCGATTTTATTCTGTCAGAATGGCAGAATGCCAAACATAAACTAGTAAATACATTCTGAAAGAATACACAAATCAATTCTTGAACTAATAATATAACAAATAATTACATTGTATGATTGTCATTAATTGAATAATAACAACATTCTGAAAGAAAAAAAAAACATCAAAATCTAAGAAAAACATTAATCTATTCTGAAAGAATATTATTTTTAATCAACACTTTATACATTGTAGCATAGCACATTCTGATATAATACACTCTCGTTCTATATGTTTTCTTTCTTCTCCACATCAATGTTAGCCTCTTCAAACCTAAATCCACAAAGAAAATATAATCATTTTTCAAAAATTAAACAATTCAATGCATTATAATAGAATACAACAATAAATATTCTTACATAATAAACTATTCTTGCAGAATGATTTTGAATATTCTTAAAGAATTTGTAACATATTCTATCGGAAATGATATGATAGAGAATGATAACATATTCTACCGGAATGTTTTTTAATTTTCCTATCTAATAATGGTTTTTTACTTTCCCTATCTTGACAAATAAGAAGATTGAAATCAAATTGTCACAGAATAATAAACAATCTTGGATTTTTGACAGAATACATACTACATGGCCAGATTCTCTTTCAGGCATTTTCACAAACACCTTTTGTGCACACATATATAAATAATAGAGAATCAAAAGCTTAAAGTATAAAAAAACAAATATCCTCATTGTTCTTCTGATGCGAATTTAAGGGAGTGTACAACTCAGCAAAACTTAGCATCCATTAAAATAAGTTGCTTCATCAATTAGGGTTTAAGAAAAAAGGGTTAAAGTATAATCGTTGGTACCTGTAGCGGATATCTCACTTGAGTAGATCCAAATGAAAATAGCTCAGGCATGGGATTTATGCTTCCGTCTCGGAGCACCGTCTCTACAGCTGATTCAAAAATGTGCCGGTTTCCTGTCCACAACAGTCCGACTGCTCTGTTCACTGGATTCACCGTCCGGCCAGAGGCTTCGAACAGTATAGACTGAAATAAACCTGAACGTACACAATTAAACAGATAACCAATCAATTCGTATTATATATCAACATATTAATCAACCAAAACCTCAAATAGTATAACTTGTAAGAAGGTATGAGATAAATAGATAGATTGAAGATGTTGTGATGATATTTACCAGGTCGTTGGTGCTCAGGGACGGAGGAGAGGAAGGACATAAGGCCGGCACAACCGAAAAATTTGGCAACAAACAAATTGGCGTTGGCTTGAGCTTGAGCACTTTCGATGGCACAGAGGCTTTCTCTGAGAATGCAGCCCTTTCGAAGAATTCTGCAGCCATTGCAACAACACCTTGAGTCTGTTTGTGTGCTAATTGTTGGAAGTGATGCTGAATAGGAATGGGGTTTGGAGTTGTGTTTATATATGTCGAACTAAGGAGAGGATAAGGGTTTCTGGATCTGTGAAGAGAGAACGATGATTTTTAGAAAATTAGGGGGAATCGTTGGTGGTGTTATATGAAGATGATAACCTAAATTAGTGGGATATTGATTGATTTTGTTTTCTTTTACCATAATTAATTATAGTGTATATTACTCTTATACCCTTTTATTATTTATTAATGATTTAATTATTTCTTGAATTCTCATTGGTGCATTTAGGCACACAATACTTGTTAAAAACATTTGAACCTAACTCTCTCTCTCTCTATATATATATATACACACACATATATATATACATATATATTGTAAGTCCCCAAAATTAAGGATCCAATTTAGTAATCAATAAAGTTAATTGCAATTAGATTTAGATTGAGAAGAAGAAGAAATTGAATCAAGCATGCACACATTTATATCATATAAATGTCAGGTACACCTTGGGAAAACACACACATACGTCATAAACTTCTAGCAAAAAGTTACAGACTGACACAACTCAGATGCTATAAATAGTACTCCTCCTACCAGCACAAGTGTGTGCAGCCAAGCACATGTGTGCGGCCGCACACACAGTGTGCGGCCGCACACACAGTGTGCGGCCACACACACATGTGTGTGGTAGCACACACTACAACATACAAACACTGCAAAATGACATAGTTATCTATACAAAGTGATGCCTAGCTCAAACCACAAATTATGTTCTTTCAGTCTCCCCCTTGGTTTGAGACTAGCATAGACTTGTCTTCACTCCTTTAGCTCCTCAGCAGGTTTCTCAAACAACCTCAAATCTGATCTCCCCATTAATCTGAAAGTAAACACATGAAAAATTAGGGCAACAAGAAAATGTTCAGCCGCACACTCACAAAATCATGCAGCCGCACACGCTTGTGTGGCAGCACACGGTCAGCCGCACACTCATGTGTGCGGCCACACACGGTGTGCGGTTACCCAAATAAACATTTTTTTTATAAAAACAAATAGCAAACAATAGATAAATTTTCGAAAAATGATGAAAAATTCAGCCGCATTCATAAGAATTACCGAGTACGAGCTTGTTTTCACTGAAACTTGATGGAAATTTTCAAAGAGATTGAGAGAGAAAATATGTGTGTGCGGTTGAAGCAACAGTAAATGATAGTGAAAAAGCCTCACCGCACACACTCTATATATATTCACAGAATTTACACATTCCCCCCCTAGTCTTTTAAACATTTATCCCAAAACCCCTTTTTGCACACAATTTTCTTAAAAAAGAATTGTTTTGAGGATTAATAGATTTTTAATTTCAAAGTTTTAAAGAAAAATTAAAAAAATAAAAATAAAAATAAAATAAAATAAAAAATTAAAAATAAAATAAGATTTAAAAAATTTAGTAATCGACAGGAATCAATTTAAACCTTTATAAATTTCTTTAACCTGTTGAGGATTAGGGATCAAAGTTTTTAGACGACCATTATCCGCTTGTCGGTACCTTTCATATTCACATCTTTGTCTGGTCGATTGTCGGTATTGTTGTCCACTTAAACACGAAAAATTGTCACAAAATCTGAGTTCCTAGATATTATATCTTAAGGACCATTTAGCTGACGACGACCAGGGATATTGTTGTCCACCTAAATTGAGCAGTGAGATCTATAGATAATCTGTATATGTTCAATTTTAAGTGTACTAGAACGTGTTTCCCGCTTCCTGATATGCCCCAGCCATCAAGAACTTCCAGAGTACTCCTTACATCGGGTGAGCAGACAACCATTCAGAGAGAGGATAGATACAGAGTTCTTCAGAGGGGTTGAGAATAAGAAGGTTGCATATGCTGTGTACCAGGTCGGATTAGAAGTCGCGTAAAGGAGACAACATATTGCTAACAGATAAGAAGTTTTTCACACATTTCACACACACACACACACACATATATATATATATATATATATATATATATATATATATATATATATATATATATAGAGAGAGAGAGAGAGAGAGAGAGCTTGCAGAGAAATAGACTTGCATATGTTGTGTACCAGGTCAGATTAGAGATCGCTCAAAGGAGACAACATATGACTAACAGAGGGAAAGAAAGAAAATGATATTCTATAGACCTAATTTATCGGAATTTACCAGTTGCCCCATCCAACCGGAATTAAGGACAGAATCCGCACATCGAGGAAAAGTTAAACCATGGTTCCAAGTACGGGTTCAATTAATGTGTCAAGCAGATTCCCGTATATATCTCCCTGCTCAACCTATCCAAGCATCGTATTGTTAGGCTAAACGGAACTATCTAGGTCAAGATTTGTCAAGTCATTTGATTTCCTAAGTTCAATTCTGCCTAGTCATGTCTGTTTAGAATCTTTCGTGCCTACCGACACATCAAATCAGAGCATAGACCCTTCAACTTTGGGTACGTTACACAGACTCAGGTTGCCTGTTATCACATGATCATATCACTTCCCGGAACATCTCCCTCAAAGATAATTTCTAATTTTTAATGTTTTTGGATTTTCTCTTTTTTTAATGTTTTTGGTTTTTCTCCCCCTAAATTTGTGCATAAAAGAAATGAAATGCACAAATTTATTTAAAAATTAATCCTCAAAACGAATCATTTTTAGAAAATTAACTAGCACATCGAATCGAGATTTGTTAAAAGGCTTGGTGAACAGATCTGCTACATTATTATCAGAGCGGACCTGTTCTAGCCGAATAAGCAAACGTTCATAACATTCTCGAATAAAATGAATTTTAATGTCGATGTGCTTGGTTTTTGAGTGCAAGACTGGGTTTTTGGCAATTTGAATCGCAGCCTCATTGTCACAAAAAATAGGGGTTTCTTGAAAATTCAAACCGTAGTCCAACAATTGATGTTGGATCCAGATGACTTGAGAACAATAAGCAGATGCAACAACATATTCTGCTTCTGCTGTTGAGGTTGAGACTGTGTGCTGCTTCTTGCACTGCCATAACACCAATCTATCTCCCAGAAATTGGCATCCTCCTGAAGTCGATTTTCTATCAAGCTCACACCCGCCATAATTGCTATCTGCAAAAGCATAGAGATCAAATTTAGGATTTTTCGGATACCAAAGACCCAGTTTTGGGCACCCTTTGAGATACCGAAAAATCCTTTTAACAACAATTAAATGAGAGAGTTTAGGATTAGCCTAGTAGTGAGCACATTGACAGACCGCAAACATGACGTCTGGGCGACTAGCAGTAAGATACATGAGTGACGATCATTGATCGATAATGAGTTTGATCTACGGATTCACCCTCCAGATCAGAAGTCAGAAGAGGCTGTTCCGCCATGGGCGTAAGAGCAGGTTTTGCGTCTTGAAACCTGAACTTCTCCAGTACATCTTCCACATATTTTGCCTGATGAATAAGGATTCCGGTTGAAGATTGTTGGACCTGAAGCCCCAAAAACGTGGTCATTTCCCCAAGAGAACTCATCTCAAAGCACTTCTTCATCACCTATTCAAACTCCTTGCAAAGTTGCTCGCTTGTCGACCCAAAAATAATGTCGTCCACATAAATTTGAACGAGAATTTGATCTGGACCAACATGCTTGAGAAATAAGGTTTGATCAATGGTGCCTCGGGAATAGTCGTGATTGAGCAAATGCTGAGTAAGAGTAGCATACCAAGCTCGAGGAGCTTGATGCAATCCATACAAAGCTTTGTCTAACTTGTAAACATGGTTTGGAAGAGATGAATTAACAAAACCCGGTGGTTGGTCAACGTAAATCTCCTCCTTGACTTTGTCGTACAAGAAAGCCGTCTTGACGTCCATTTGGTATACAGTAAAGTTCATGTAGGAAGCATAAGCAAGGAAGATACGAATGGCTTCCAAGTGAGCAACCGGAGCATAAACTTCTGTATAGTCAAGACCCTCAACCTGTCGAAACCCTCGAACCACCAATCTTGCCTTGTTGCGCACAATGACACCTGAATCGTCTTGTTTATTTCGAAATACCCAACGAGTATCAAGAGATTTCTTTCCTTTTGGTAGTTCCAACAATTTCCAGACTCCGAGTTTCTCAAACTGATTTAATTCATCATGCATGGCTTCAACCCAGCTGGGCTCATTCAGAGCCATTTCGACAGATTTAGGTTCTATTTGAGATATGAAGCAAGAGTAAAGACATGTATTTACATCCCCACTTTTACTTCTCGTTTGAACCCCATCGCCCAACTGGCCAATGATGTTCTCTATTGGATGATCTCGCTGAATGCGTGAAGGGATCTGATAACTAATATCACTGAACGAAACAGGAAGATTATGAATGTTAACCGCTTCATCATTTGCTGTATGGTCTGTAGAGGATGAACAAGGTTCGTTAGAAGAATCCGCTACAAACTCTTCTGCAATATTTTCTGGAAAAAGAAGTTCCATAAAAGTTGAAGTTACAGCGGAAGTCTCGTGATTCATGAACTCTTTTTCCATTGGAGTTAAAGGAGTAGCAATGGCATCAGGAGAAGGTTGTTGAGGAGATTCAGAAGATTCAAAATGAGTAGGGGGTACCAAGGGAGGATTAGTGGAAATCAATGGAGGTCGATAAACAACTTCATCTTCTTCGTCTTCTCTAGGAATCTTCGAATTGGAAGTAGATCCTTCTTGATTATCTGAAGACACATTGAATGATTTGAAATGAGATGTGTAGTCAAACAACCAGTTAGGGCCCACTTTAGCATCTGTCTCATTTTCCTCAAGCCAACGAACATAAAATGATTCTACAATCTGTTTAGTCTTCTTATTGTAAACCCTGTACGCAGTTCGAGCAGCATATCCAACAAAATAACAGTCATCGGCTTTGGCATTGAATTTGGGATTGGATTCCAAGTGGAGAAGGGTGCAAGGGCAGCTAAATACTCGGAAATGACTGACAGATGGCTTGTGTCCA